TGATAGGGATTGCATTAAATCTGTACAGCTGTTTTGGGAGTATGGCCATCTTCACAATGTTGGTTCTTCCTATCCAGGAGCATGGAATATCTTTCCATTTTCTGAAATCCTCTACGATTGATTTCTACATATTTTATGGGAGTCACAAATCTACCTGTACAATGACACAATTATGAATGATTTCTATATATTTTGCATAAGTATCTTACTACCTTAAAATGTCATTTCTTTAAATGCCTCAGCTATTCTTTCTTTCCTTCCTTCCTTCTTTCTTTTTGACATAGGGTCTTACTCTATAGTTCAGGGTGGTCTTGAACTCACTGTGTAGCAAAGGCTAGCCTCAAACTCATGGGAATCCTCCTTCCTCTGCCTCCATAGTGCTGAGATTACAGGTGCGTGCCACCTGTACAAATACCCAACAAATACCCCAACTATTGCAAAATCCATGCTGTACTTCATATTACTAGAAGTTCTGAGTTGTAACTCTTCACTTAAGAGAGATTCTGAATGTACACTTATAGTATTTTTAAATGGAGCCATGTTCATTTCTAGAAGTTCAATATTAGGTAATAGTTTAATAATTTGAAAATTACCTGATAGTGGGTAAGTTAAGAACAGGCATTCTGAATGTGGATTGCCTACAGTTACACCTCCGGTCTACAATCCTTAGAAATTAAACTGCCTAGTACCTCAGTTTCTTCCCAAGGACTTTGTAATAACAGTATCTATATCATGAGTGATAAGAAAATCAGATGAATTACTACATGTAAACATTTAAAATAGTAAATAGTCTATATTTGCTGTTAGACACTTGGAACAGTGTTATAAATTTATGTATTTTTTTCTTTGCCAATGATAAAAAATGCAATTAGACATATTTACATGTAGAAGATGGAAAATAAGGAAATTAGTAGGAACAGAATGGCACAGGAAGCTCTTTTGTGTAAATAGTCCAGATGGCACTGTAAGGGAAAAATCTATGAGGTCCAAGAATTTTGAGATTTTTGGTTTTTTAACACAGGGTCACACTATATGTGCAAGTAGACCTTGAAGCTATTAGGTAGTCTAGGCTGGCCTCAAACTCATGCTCCTGCCTCAGTCTAAGCGCTGGTATTATAGGTGTACACCACTACACCTGGCCTTGTGGTTGTTTATAACTACCCCATCAGAGCACTCAGAACATTCACTCATTCACTGTAACACAATTAAGCACTTAACAAAAAAATTGCTCACTTTCAAAGAAATCACACTGCAACATAAAGTTTAGTTTGTTTTCTGACCTTGAAAAGTAACTCTTACTTCTTTCATTATATCACAATCCTAGTTAGGAAGGCATCCCTTAAATTTGAAAATTGCTATCATTCCAAAATATCAGCTATAGACAAATGAAGTCCAATACATTCAAATTTTAGTTTACAGGAAAACAAACTTTGCTTCATACAGTCCCTGGATTTTTGGACCTGACTGTCTCTAGAGAGTGTGATGGATTGGTGGTGCAACACTGTGATCACAGATGTTCAGATTAAGGGTGGATGACTGCTGGATAAGTCCACTGATTGGCCTGGCACCCCCCTAATTCCAATAAACTGGATATAAAGGACAGAAAGATATAAAGGCCTGTCTCCCCCCCCCCTTTTTTTTTTTTTTTTGCATGTTTGTGCTTTCTGTGAACTGGTTCTATTCTATTCAGAACTCAGAAGACCAGGGCCAGCCAAATAGCTCAGCAGATTAAAGCACCTGCAAGCAGGTGCAGGGATTAGGAGTTTGATCCCCGGGCCTGCTGTGCCGGCCCCACCCCGGGGCACGCTGAGACTGGGCATGGCAGTGTGAGCCTATAATCCCAGCACTTAGGAGGCTGTAAACAGGAGAATCACTACAAGTCCGATCTAGTAGTGAGACCCTGAATACCCTGTAGACCCTTCCCTAAAATACAGGAAAAAAAAAAAAAAAAAAAAAAGAATTCAGAAGACCAGAAAGCTGGTAAAGACCAGGTTCAGGTTTTTGCTGGGAAGAAGGACTATATTGGACACTCAACTCTGGAGGATGTTTTATTCCTGTGCAGAAATTTTGTCTGCATTTTTCTCATGTTGAGAGACTGCCTGAGACTGAGATTAAAGATAGCAGATTAATCTTGTAGAAGAAATTCAAGGCAGTCAAATATTGAGGCAGTGGCATAGCTACTACTGGGGACTTTTAGACAGAGTTGCTCAAAACTGCAACAGTGAAAGACTGCTTTAAGAAGAGCACCCCAGAGCACCATATTCCAGAATAATGATGGCAAGAGAAATTGTTCCTTAGGATTTGGTTCAGACACTGGACCTCTACAGCCAAGAGAGAAGGAAGCCTGGCTACTGCTCCAGCTGGCAGCACCCTTGGCATCATTCATACGGTGATAGTTTTAGGTGCAAGCAGAATGTAACAGGTGTGGGGTCAGAAAGGCTTCCACCCGGATTTCAGAAGAAGGCCTGAGAGGCCAGGCAGTGTGTCTGAGAGAGCAATGTGTGAAGAAGCTGCTGAGTGTGAAGCCAAAAGGTACACTAGAGACCCTAGAAGTCTGGAGAAACCAGAAACGTGGATCACCTGAGGATTACTGTAAGGAAGGAGCAGAGCAGGCTCAAGACAGCAGGCACAGGAGCTACAACCAAAGGAAGTACCATGGGGCAGAGCCAACCAAGCCCTTCAGAATTCACATCTTATCACAGACTGCCTCTGATGATGCACATGGAACTACAGGACTTAATGTGTGACTCACCAGATGTGGGGGCTTGCTTTGGTCCCATTTCTTTGTATCCTCATTTGTAACTTTGGAATGGAAATGTCCACTGTGTGCCACTGAATGGTAGAAGTGTCTCCTTTGTTTTCATTTGTACAGGCACTCACAGCTAAGAGTTTGCTTTAACTATCATAGGAGACTTGGGACTTAAGACTTTTCAGAAATGATGAAAATATTAGGATTTTGGCTATTTTTAGAGGGATTAAATGCTTTTTGTATAAAGGGGTGTGTGTGAGTCTCTGGGAGTCTGGGCGTGGAATGTTATGGTCTGTGTATAAATGTCCTGCCAAAGCATCATGCCATCACAGGGTTTTCATTTTGAGGTCACGGAATCTAGACTGTTTAATTGATTCATGGTGCAATGCTGGGATTAAGGGCACTCGGATTAAGGGTAAGTGACCGTTGGATCAATCTACTGATAGAATTGGTACTGCCCTAATCCTGGTAACTAGATATAAGGGACAGAAAGAGGCTTTTGTCCCTCATCCTTGCTTGCTTTTCCTGTCTTGTGCTTGCTATAAATCAGTTTTGTGTTGCCCCTCTGCCAACCCATCCTACCTTGGAGCCAACTGATTATGGACTGAAATCTCTACAAACTGTGAGCTAAATAAACCTTTCCCCTTTAACTTTGAATGTTTGGAATTTGTTTCAAGCAAAATAGAAACGTAACTTAAATAGGATATTTTCATTTTTAATACAGAATTTTTGTATTAGTTGAATTTGGGGAAAAATAAAAATAAAACAAATACAATACCTTTGATTCCACTTGGGTTAGCATAGCCGGAATGTCAGAAGTGGTAGACTTCGGTATACCAAGGGCATCATATATAGCTTGAACTTCCTGACAAATTTCACTGTTTTTATCTAACTCAGAATTTTTACATTTCTTTTTCTGTAATATCTGTAAAGCTTGAAGTTCTGTACTTAAAAATACTATAACAGAAAAGATAAAATGAATGTTAACACATGTACAAAAATTTAAAGTGTTTTGGTGAAGTAATTTACTTAAAACAAATATTAACAATGTCAACAACATCAACTTACAAAGAATCAGAGTAATTATCAACAGCTGTAAAATAATGAACTTAAAAAACACATTGAAATAATAAAATGAATTTATTAATGACTTATTCTCACCAATTTCACATGAGTTGGTTTCAGTTCCACTTTAATATTTTAAAAGACCTTGATTTCTATTTTAATAGGTGCACACATTTACCAAGGCCTTATTCTGTCTGGGTTATGAATAGTATCAATAATGACAATACAACATCAAATAAGAAAATATCTACCCTCAAAAATTTTAAATTAGTTCTTTGTTTTTGCTCAGTTAAAATTACATACAAACATAATAGTCACAATTTAATATAGCATTTTAAACTTAAGTTGAAGAGAAAAAATATCTGGGAAACTGTTTAAAAGTACAAGTGCCAGAATTCTGTCATCAGAGATTCTAAACTAGTATATCTGAAGTAAAAGATAGACATCTGTGTGGTTTACTACTATAAATAAGGTTATAAATAAATCTTTTTTATGAATCTCTGCACCCTTAAGAGTAAGTATATACTCCTAGCCACAGACTTGCTAGGTCAAAAGACATGTGATATTTAATTATGATTTCGAAAGATTGTCCTCTCAAAAGGCAACACCAGGGCCAGGGATACAGTTCAGCGGAATAAGCACTTGCTTTTAAGTGCAAGGAACTGAGTTCAATTCCTAGTACAAAAAAAAAAAAGTCTATACCAGTCATTCTACCACCATCTATAATGCCTATAGTACATGAAAGTTTATTTTCCTACAGACTTGTACCATGATTTGGGTTGGGGACTCTTTGTTAACTTGGTAAGAGAACTGATGTACTGTCACAATTTTTTTTAATTCTTTGATTTTGAGCAATACTGTGCACCTTTTCATGCATATAATTCAAAAATTATTCTTATGTAGAATACAGATTCATATCTTATGTAGTGTACACATTTTTCCAGAGAATTTCAATTCTTCTGAAGCAAAACATAGCAATACATCTAGTCCAGAGATTTTTTTTAATGTCTAATCTTTTAAGTAATCAAAAGTATAAACAAAAAAAAAACTGTGAAATAGAAGAAAAATTCAAATACCTCTGGAGGTATAAAATTTCTCCTGTTTTATAAATACATATATTTTCTGGTACAAGAATAGGTAACAAATAAATGTTTTTGAACAAACCATCACTCATTGTCTAAAAATAAAGACCTAAAAATCTGATTGGCAGCCAACTTCCCAGAGAGTTTTAAGATCACGAAGTTTTAGATATTTAGTCATCAATGCTAAGAGATTACATGAAAAAATTACTAAGATACTACGTAAAGCACAAACATAGGACATGCTATCTATAGTAGACATCATGTGTTAGAGGATATATTCAGGATTTAAACATTTGGACAAATATTTCTAAAACAGCTTTATATTTGTTTTTCAGCTACATATTTTAAATTTAATATTAAACCTTTTAAATATATGAAATGTCCAATGTTTCAAGAATAGATAAATTTAGAGCTAATGATATAAAAATCAGATCAAATACGTACATTTAAATGTCCAATGAAAAATAACTTACACAGAAGTTTCAAACAGTCATCCTTTGTTTTTAATCGGTCTTTAACATCTCCTGATATGAGAACAGAATAGGGGCAAGCCATTTCTTTTAAAAAACCACTTATCTCAAGCTGGAAACTCTCTAAGTCATCTCTCCCTTTAAAAAAGAGAACAAACAAACAAACAAACAAAAATCACAAAGCATTCACTGAGTTCTTAATGTTTAAGAACTCTATCTTAATAGTAAATTTTTGTTGTCCCCAGGGTGCACTGAGACAGGCAATTGAGCCTGGGCGTGGTGGCTCCTGCCTGTAATCCCAGCACTTGGGAGGCTGAAAGCAGGAGGCTCACTACCAATATCTACAATGTGAGACCCTCTAGACCCTGTCCTAAATTCATAAAAAAAAAAAAAAAGTAAACTTTTGTCAATAGCAAGTTTTTTCTGATTTCAATTGTACGTTCAATTCTAAATCTTCACTTGTACACTTATTCTTGGACTTGTGATCAGTGTGAGTAAAGACAAGCAAACAATTTCCACATACAGAGAGTATTACTGAAGTAATCGTGAGACTGTAAATACCGTTATTTATAGAGATTTACCATTACATCTCTGACAAGTCTTTTCTAAAGGATTCTCTGTAAGACTAGACCAATGGGAAGTATTGATATTAAAACAAAATATTAAAGGTACTACTACGGCTACATTTATTGATTTCAGAACAAATGGTCCATTTCTATACATTCTAATTAAGATTAACTGCTTATCCTTACTTCATAATAAAATTAGGTAGGGGGCCATCAAGACAGCTCAGCAGACTAAGGCACCTGCTTAGGCAAGCTTAGGGAAAGCGCAGGTACTGAGCTTCAATCCTAGCACCACATGCCTTGGCAGTCCCACTCCCAGGGCGGGCTGGCCCAGCCAGTGTCTGGGCATGGTGGCAGATGCCTGTAGTCCAAGCTGCATAGTGAGACCCTGTACCAACCAAATAAATAAAAAAATAAAATAAAATTAGGTAGGAACTTATTTCATATATTAGATTCATATTATTTTACTTCATACTGTTAATTTGACAAGGAAAAAATAATTTGAAAAAGTAACTTCAGAACAGTGGGCTGTAATTGACCAGTGATTAATTATTTTTCATCTTATCCAAAGATCTACCAGGACTCCAGCTATCAAGATGGCAATGAATTAAACAACTTTTATGAGCTACTACAGAAGATTTTTATAAAACAATCTCTACATGAACACATGTCCTGAGTTACAGGCATAGGAAAATAAATTAGGGATTATATGTATGAAAAAAACAAAACAAATTCAAAATGAGCCATATTTAAAATTTAAACTCTCTAAATAAATCAAATTCAGACCATTTTCTTCTAAAGAACAAAACTAAGGTTAACACAACAGATATTGTTTATAATTTTTTGCAAATTTAAGATTCAAGTTTTGATTATAATAAATTTAATTTAAAGATTTTTAATAGCGTACACTGAAATTCTTTATACCAGTGATTTTTTTTTTGTTGACAAAACGATAAGCTATCAGTCAATTTTAGAATTAAATAGAAAGTAAATAAAACATAATGGCAAATACCAGCGGAAGTGATACTTTCTTCCAAGTTGCATAAAGATTTTATTTGAGAGCCTAACCAAACACATAACTCTGAAAATTCAGGCGAAGAAAGTCCACCCTCTGCTGCCTTGGTAAGGGCCTGTTCTTCTAACAGTGGTCCTTTGTACCTACAAAGAGGAAATAAACATTTAAAAGAGAGAAAAAGAGAATCATTTAGTATTCTCTATCTAGGCCTATTGCTGCCTGTTTTTATAAATTAACTTCATTAGAACACAGTCAATAAACATATTAATTCATAGACTGTCTGTTGCTTAAATGCTACAATGCCAGAGCTGGTTGAGCTTAACAGAATAATTGGCGAAACCTACAATGCCTTCTTGAGTATAAGAGCCCAGACAGAAACAATTTGCTGACTTTTCTCTAAATAATTAGTACTTGGCTTTCCCCCATATTTTAATATTTTATAGTGAAATTAGCAATTTTTAATATTACAGATAAGCGGCTAAGAGAAAGCTCAGCAGTCCCTGCTTAGACAAGCTTAGGCGAGAGCACAGGAACCACAGTTTCATCCAGGGCATCACATGCTGTGCCAGCACTGCCCCCAGGGTAGGCTGAGCTGGCCACACACACACACACACACACACGCAATACAGATAACACAAACTCCAATAAAACAGGTTTATGAGTTCCAAGAAGTAGTACAGTGACAAAAGTGCAGATGCAAATTTCAAATTTAAAAAACATAAAACTGAAAAACTGAAAAGGACCTATGAGATCAATCTAAGTAATTTAGATTACTTTTAGACATATGTGTATGTGTATATATATATATATTCTTTTTTTTTTCTTTTTTGCGGAACCAGGGATTGAACTCAGGCCCTTGTGCTTGCCAGGGAATGGCAAGCACAAGGGCCTGAGTTAATTGACCTTCTAAGGTCAATTAAGACTCAGGACATATGAGAACTTGTACTGTAATGTCATGTACCTCGGTAGTGTCCCAAATTTTCTGATCAAGAAGATTATGGGGCCAGAGAGGAAAGTGATCAATGATGTAGAGTGTGCCTAAGGAGAGTCACATGGGGGAGAAGACACTCTCTCAGGCTTTCACAGAGAGCACATTGGCCAAGCAATGGCCGTGACTCATCCACATGGCTGCACTGACAAAGGTTCTACAATGTGAGGTACAGGATCTCAGGATAAATCCTGAGGGCATTTCACTGACCTTCTCAAACCAAAAAGCTACAACTCTTGTTGCACAGGTCTTGCTTTACCTTGGTCTTAACCATCCAGTAGAAAAGTATGAAGATGAAATATAGGAAGTAAAGCCATGCTGTTATGTTCAGCTGTGGGGGACTCAGGTCAATAATTTCTGACACTGCCAGTTAAACAGAAGACCCAATGCTATTATGGGCTACTGGACTCTTTTAGAATACTTTGCTGAGTTTACACACCTATAATATTCAATAACGGAACTTAGAAAAAATGGGGTATACCGATGAATGTCCATTTTGTATCTGTGTGTTCAAAGTGGTTAGATAGATATATAGTTGCATTCTCTTAATGAATAGAATGATTTGTTCTAATGGTGTTTGTAAATAGGATCACAAGTCCACATCTTGTACAGCAATTAACCACTAAGAAGAATGTATGCAGTGTATTATTTGCTGAAACTGTACTTCCGATTTGATTTGAAACTGTCTCATTGATATATGTTTATCAATAAAACTTTGAAAAAAAAAAGAAACTTAAAGGTGGCATCAATTTTCTACTTTTTGTTTTTTAATTTTCTACTTTCTGCAATGAAGCTTTCTTAATACTGTAAACACAGATTTCAATACACTTAATATGCTTTATCCACTGCAGTTACTATTTTGATATTTAAACTGTAATAAGCTATGCCTATGAATTTCCCCAGTACTCTTCAAATACTTTTCTTGCTTTCTATGACAAGACGTTCCAGGTCTACACCTGTAGTCAGGCTTCTATCCATGCAGCTCTGATCTTTTCTAATGGCAATTAGAGTACATAATCTGTTACTAAAGGTTTCAATGTCCACTGTTTCAATGTCCTTTTGGCAAGATTGCTGGAGACCAAACCCAGGACCTTAGCCATGCCAAGTTGCGTGCTCTACCACTAAGCTACACCCCAAGCCATAACACACTTTTTTGAAAGAAACTATATCAGGAATTTATATTGCAATTTTCAATTTGTATTTAGACTCATAGGATTTTCACTTGTTTTATATTTTTCTTTTAAAATGAAACACTCATATTTGCATAATCCCATTACATATAAAATGGATATAAAATTTGCTGTTTCAGAACAGCAAATTCAGTATTATTAGCATTGTTACTAACAATAAAATCACCAAAAACAGCTTACTTTTTGAAGCAATTGAACAATTTGTCCCTATGAGTCAAAATCTTCAACTGTGATCAACCTAAATTTCATCATTTTCGGTGAGGTATTTTTTGAGAAAATTCTATTTCACCTTCCCTAATGAACAAACATTTATTTCAAGACACTGCACACTCTCATTGCAGCTGTGCTCCAGAGAAGAGAAGTATGGGTTTTCTGTATCACTGATATGACTCAAACCCACCAGCCAGCTTTAAGATATTTGAAAATTGCTGGTGATTGCTCTGCCTATGCTTTCTTGCCCACTTAGTTTTACCGCTGACTCTAATTCATGGGCTGCATATAATAACAGTCAGCCTCTCTGGATAAAAACAAGGCCTACCCTCCAAACATTGAATGTCCTACTGGAACAAATGTAAAGCAGAGTATAAGATCATGAGAGGAGTTCGCCATGACATGCTGGATTCATATGTGGCTGAACATTTACAGGTGCAATCTATTTGGAAATAATGCTTTTTATTCCCCTATACCAAATTGTCAGAATTTTTCTTGTTTTGACTTTGGTTTTTAGCATGTTTTCATAAAATATGCAAGGACAAATTCTTCAATTAAATACATTTGAGAGATAAACTGTTCAAGTGATCAAAGTTTGATCAATAATTCAATGTTTTATTATGAATACACACTGGTACCTCAGTTCACAAATATTTTCATTTTCAAACAATTTGCTTCACACAGAGAAGCATTTGTTAAAACTGTATTTTTGTTTGCAAACCCTCCATCAAGTAACAAACACAACCAAAGCCATCTTTCCCACACAAACATGAATATGTCTATCTTTTCTAAAACTGCACAACAAATTAAGTTAAGGTACCACTGTATTCGACTAAGGATATATAGAAAAACAATTCATTTCCATGCAATTAACTCGTTCGCTCCATATGTTGATAGCCACTTGTTTCATTTTGCTTTCATTTGTAGGCATTTTATTTTACTTTTGTTCTTATTTGATTTTGCTTCATAATTATGTAAATTAAGTAGTTTTAAAGTCTTACTGCCAAAACTAGGTAAATCCATATAAATCTAGTTCGCAATTTTGATCATATTCCCTTTACTTTGCTCCCCAACACATAACCATACTTGATAGATCTGGTTCCTTTTTAAGCAAGAAGATAGCTTACTAGATATTCTAATCCTTGCTTTAAACACATCCACACATTTGCACATACTAAGGGTCAACATGTACGTATGTATGTATGTATGTATGTATGTATGTATGTATTTATACCTGGCTCAGAGTCTCACTACCCAGCTCATACTCATAGTGATTCTCCTATTTTTAGCCTCCTCAGCACTGGGATTACAAGCATGTGCTACCACACCCAGTCTCCCTGGCCAGCTCCACACACCCAGGGGCAGGGCTGGTGTGGCATGGGGCCCCAGGGATCAAACACTGATCGCTGCCGCTTGCCTAAGCAGGCACTTAGCCCTCTGAGCTATCTCGCCAACCCAGGATCAACATTTAGAGTCACGCCTCAATCATTTTTACAGCTGTACAGTACTCAACTGTCAGGTCTGAAGCAGGACTTAAATACAAAAGGGAGTTTCCTCAAACCTCCCTTTCCCTATAGCTGTTTAGGTACTTATTATTAAATTTTAATCAGAGACACTATAAGATACATAGGCAGGGGTAACACAGAGAAGCAGCCTTAAGGTAGAGGTACAGAGACCACATTCAACCTCAGCTGTCCTTCCCCAGTTGTATTATCTGAGCCAAGTTGTTAGTTTATAGGTGTTGACAAGAGATTAAATTAATTAAAATTTAACAATAAGTAACAGGGTATCCTCCCTATAGCTGTTGTTCTTTGTTCTAGTACAGATAACTGCAATAATTTGTCCCAATAAAGGTTTTTTTTTTTTTTTTTTTTTTTTTGAGAGAGAGAGTGTGTGTGTGTGGCCAGCTCAGCCCACCAGGGGGCAGGGCTGGCTGGCATGAGGTGCTGGGGGATTGAACCACGGTCCCTGATGCTTTGCTAAGCTTGTTCTATGTAGGTGCTTTAGACCACTGAGCCATCTCTCCAGCCCCTGTCCCAATAAAGTTTTATACCTTCCTGTTTTAATAATGTCCTGTTTTTACCCAACCAAAGCCACTGGGCACAGCTTGACAAACCGTCTTTGATCTGTTTGCATACTCCCAGGTTACACACACCACCCCCTCAGCAACATGGATGAAACTTGAGTATTTCTTTTGTTCAGCACTCAGCCATTTTGAACATGAATCTGCTGAGTGTATAGCTAATAAAACTCTATTTCCCCCCAAGTCTCTCCAGTGTCTTGAAAACTACTACAGAGTTATATCCTTAATTAATTAGCTTCTAATGATGGATATTTTTGTTGTTTCAGTGTTTTAGTATCATAGTATGGTAAATTTTTATCAATGTGTAACTGGGATAGATTTTTTTTTTAAATGTATTTTAGTACATGGTCTACAGCATCTCATGAGGTAGACTGAACTCATAGTGATCCTCCTGTTTTCAGCCTCCCAAGCACTGGGATTGCAGGCATGTACCACCACGTCTGTATCTGTCTCAGCACACCCCAGGGGCAGAGCCTGCAAAATGCCAGGAACTGAACCCCAGCCGCTGCACTCTGCCTAAACAGGCACTTTAGTCCATTGAGCTATCTGGCTGGCCCAAATTTTGAAAGGTGAGATTACTGGATTAAATAGTAAATGGTTATAAAAATCTTGCTAGATGATATTAAATATTTATGCACAGAAGTTTTACCATTGAAGTATGACAATACCCAT